TAAATAGAAATTTGAATTATTATTAATGTGAATTACCTCTAGAGTGTTCCAAATTTAAACTATATACTATTATAATAAGTAAATAAATAAATATATTGATAGGATAGGATTCTGTGGGCTTGTTCGTAAATTTGAAAACTCAAGAAACCAAGGACAAGTGGTGGCTGAAACCAGTTGTCAATCGCAAAATTGTCCAGCACATTTACTTTTTTGAATAAAAAGTATAATTAAAATTAAATTTTTTTTTTTGATATTAATTTACTCCGCCTAAAATTGAAATAGCTAAAACCAGAAACCGCCAATAGATTCACATTCTATGAACAAAAAATACTATGTGCTAAAAAAACTTACTCATATGAGCAACTATAAATAAATAAAGTATTATTATTGTTGAGCTATTCGAGCGATCATAATCTGAATCACAGTGCAGAAGAATTTGCAAGCAGTGTTGATGGCTGGAATAACAGAGACCGGAAGAAGAATCATGGTAGCTATTGACGAAGGAGATGAGAGCATTTACGCTCTGACATGGAGTTTGAAGAATTTGATATTTCAAAATTCGAAAGATCATCTTATTCTCATCTACGTTAAGCCTCCTCGTGTCGTTTATTCAGCCTTCGACGGCACAGGTAATTGGTATAACTAATTGCGATTAATCTGTTTTAATCTGGCTTAATTAGTTAATTAACTGATTGATTTTCAGGATATCTTTTCTCCTCTGATGTAACGGCGACGATGGAGAAGTATAGTCAACAAGTTGCTGAATCTGTTTTGGAGAAAGCCAAGTTAGTCTGTAACGACGTCCAAAATGTAAGTCAGTGTATATTAATCAATTATGGTTTAATTAATTGGTTGATTAGTTAAATGATTGGTATGGTTTAGGTGGAGACGAGGATAGAAAATGGTGACCCTCGGGACGTGATTTGCCAGGCCGTTCAGAGATTGGGTATTGATATCTTGGTGATGGGAAGCCATGGGTATGGTGTCATCAAGAGGTTAGTTTGTGATTTCTGTATTTGAATCGTGTTAGAATGTGAATTGTATGATTAATTTAGTTTTGGATGATTCATTAATGGTAGGGCTTTTCTTGGAAGTGTGAGCAACCACTGTGCACAGAATGTCAAGTGCCCTGTTTTGATTGTCAAGAAGCCAAAATCAACCGATGGAGAAGATAAATAATAATATCTAATCATACCTTTGCTGCTTTTTTTTTATGTAAATAAATATAAATACTTTGCTGTTGCTATTGCTGTGAGCAACGTGTCTTTTGCTTGTGCGAATTTTGTTCCTTTCTTTAACCTATAAGGAAAGTGATATGTTTTCTTTTCATAATTATTAATGTTGGATTTTTGTTATTTTTTATTCTAAAGTTTTCTTATAGTTCATCGTCATTCCCGGTCATGATGTTTTTTTAGTTTATTCCAACTGGCACATGATGCATTTAGCCCCTGAGGCACTTGCAACTGAGGTGGCACTTGCACCTAAGTAACCTGCACCTGAGGCGGCACCTCAGAGTTTTAGAGAAGGGCCTGCTGATTTATTATTGTTGTCTCTGTACCCGGACCATGTCTCTAAACATGTTTGGGACGGAGAGGTATGAATTTATAATTGTTTTTGTGATTTTTGTTGAATTTATTTTATTATTATGTTTTGTTGAGTGAATTTTGTTAAACTATGTATGCAAGAACGTGATCCGCTGAAAGTCATTAATCTTGTGCGAAAGGTTATATTGCAACACTTTCCCACATCTCGTATTGGTCACTTATCTCGAGTTATACTGAAGAAAGGTCGTGTGCCACTGTATTTGAGGTGCTCTGAGGGAACTAAGTGACAGAGTGGTTTCGGGTGTATATTGATTGGTTGGTGTTTAAGGATATACACTTCGATACCTACGTCGACCACTGTGTCACAATTTCATTTGACAATGTTACATTGCATTTTGGATGGTTGACTTACGGGTCACACAAGATGGCTACTCATTTGTCTGAGCGCATCATGTGACAATTCGGGTACATGCATGTATATTCCCCCGAATCCTGTTGCATGTGCTCCTTCCCTGGTGAAATGGAGGGATATGGGTTCCTTGTTTGATGATTATGTTAATCATCTTATGCCAGATGAGACCCGGAGTACCTCAGCACCAGACAACTAGAGCTACGTGGGCGGCTATATCATATGATTCTTCAGGGTGTCTCATCCATATCTAGTACACGGATGCTCTAGAAAATCCACTGAGGCCACTGATGTGTTGCCTAGGTGTCGTCGTATCATAGACATTGCGTAGACGCGTATTGATGCAAGTTTGTTTCTTGATGGTTCTGATGTTAGAGGTGTTATAGATTCTATCATGGCGGAGGCTCAGGGAGCTCTGTAGTACAGGAGGCAGTGGAGGAACACCGGAATAATATGTTGGATTACCGTCTTTATAATCTTGTTGGATAATATTTTGGGTTACCGTCTTTATCGACTTTGGGTAATATGTTGACTGTTATATATTTATATATATGTTTTTGTTCTCTATGTCTTCGTATTCATTGTGTAGTTTCTAAAATGTGAAACAATGTGAAAACTGATTACTGTCTGCATAATTTTTTCTCCTACTGTCTGCATAGGAATCGAAAATATATTTACGGTTCCTCACGTAATTGCATTTTCGATTTTAAGATATGTTTAAAAAAAGTGTGTCTCGAGAATGCATTTTCAATTTTCCATACATTTTAAGAATTACAGTGTTTTTCACATTTATGAGGGTTTAAGAACAAAACTCAATCGATCAAACTTTAAATAAAAACCTCACTAGAAAAATTATTATTATTATTAATTTATATTAAAATTAAGAGTTCTCATTTAAAGTATCTTATTAATTAAAGTCATTTAAAGTATTTTATTAATTAAAGTTGTTAAGTCTCTTGATAATTTTAGAACAAAAATTTAAAAGTAATTTTTATAACTTTCCTTCCATTTATTTATTTATTAAATTTGTATTAAAATTATACAAATTGAAAATAATAACTAATCTTATTAATTAAAATTTTTAAATCTCTTAATAAATTTAGAGCCAAAACTTGAGCGTAGTTTTTGTAACTTCCCTTCAATTTATTTATTTATTAAATTTGTATTAAAATTATACAGATTGAGAATAATAACTAATAAACTTGAGAGTAGTTTTATAATTTCTCTTCAATTTATTTATTTATTAAATTTGTACTAAAATTTAGAATAATGACTAATTTTACTTCTCTTAAAAATTTGTTCAAATTAAAATATGAAATTAATAAAATATTTGTTCCCTAATATATATGTTGGTTATAACTTCTCTAAAATATTATGTTGGTTATAACTTCTCTAAAATATTTGTTAAATAAGATTTCTAACTTCCACACAATTTCACTAACTTCTTCTCTAATTTGTGTTTTATTTATTTCCTTACAATATTGATATTTTGTTATATTAAAAATTTAAATTAACGAAATTGTATATGCTATCATAACCTAAGTTGACATATAATAATGCAATTGATATAAATGAATTCATACTTTAAAATATATTTAAGTATTGTAGTTTTACTAAAAATTCCTTAAAAAAAATCATAAATACTTTTAATGGTAGAGATCAATTAATGTTAAAACACTTCTCTTTCTCTAATATGTGCTAGATTTATTTTCTTAAAATATTAATATTTTGCTATAATAAGATTTTGGTTAGAAATTGATCCAATTAAATAATACTTTAAAGCATATATTTGTCAATACATAATTTTATTATTATTATTGTTATTATTATAAAATATATATAAAATACTGCTAAATATATTATAATCGTGTGTTTCTTTTCATTGTCCGTGTTTAATTTTAATTTTATTGATTTTTTTAAATTCTTAATCGTCTTTTTTTAATTTATATTTATCCCAATTTCAAATTTTAAGTAGAATTGTGAGAGAGGTTAAAAGATGAAAAGAAGTATATATAATTTTTTGGACATTTAATAATAATAATGATCTTATTTCGTGTGTTTTTTTTTTGTTATGTTGATTTCTTTCTTTTCAATAATTTGTGATGTTGCATGAAGTTTTTTTTACTTTGAAATATGTCTTACTTTATTTCTAAAATTTAGATACTTTATTTCTTTGTTTTGTTCAAAAGAATACTTTTAGAATTTAACAAATATTTGTAACTAGTAGGTTGGCGTTTGTCTTGCATAATTTATATAATTGTAATTAAATTTTAAAATGTTTTATTTTAGTCTTTTGTTCAATTAGAAACAGATCTATTTTAAAAAGTATAATTGAGGAATCAAGTGATAAAAAAAAATTAAGAATTAACTATTTTAGATTTGACTTATATTAAACATAAACATACAAACAATGAATGGTTGATTTTACAAGCATTTCTTTGATAACTCGGCCGATTTTGGCCTGTATATAATTTTTTTAAGTAGAAGAGTAAGTTTTGGTTTGCACCCTCTGTTTTTTTAGCATTGATTGATTCGTAAAGTTTAATAAATAAGATTTAAAAAAAAAAATTCTCACATTTTTCCCAGACTTCTTTTAATGTCTAACTAAATCTTTGATTTATCCATATCTGCATTCTTTTAGTACTTGTTAGTACTTGACAGCAGATATCCTTTTCGATAAGAAATAACATTAGAATATGTTATAATTATAAACAAAACTATTTAAGTGTGCTTATTTTTTTCTAATCAATTAGTTTAATGGATTATCCAATGCATAGTATTCTCCTTTTATGGAAATCCTTGGGGAAAATTAGAATTTGAGGCATCCATAAAAGGCAAACTCGATCAAAACATAATAAACGATAAATTCAAACGAAACATTGTTGTTTGTTCTAATCAGCTGAATAGTCTAATGGGATGAAGCAAAAAGCTCAACCTTTTGCTTACAATTTTAACGGTTTGCTTTATCTCTAGAGAAAAATACTACACAGCTAAAAAAAGATAACTGCCACTCAGGAATAAAACTTTTGCTAACTTTTGCAAACACCCTAGAGCTCATCATGTACATCCTCTTTATTGGCTTCATTACTGTCTTCACCAGCCTCTGTCTTTGATTCAGCATCAGAGTCGTGGCTAGCATCATCAGTATCTTCATCATCCTCTTCGGCATCAGAGTCAACAGGATCATCCTTTGATTCCTGGAAATTTGTACAATGAAAAGGAGGTGTGAGAAATGTTTATGATCTTCCACAATAAATTGGTAAAATGAAAGTGATAAGTTTCAAATATGTTTTCAGAATGAGAATTTACCTCCTCTTCTTTCTTCTTCTCAGCCTCATCAAATGCTGCCTTCTCAGCCTGCAAGAACATGTTTTCACCAAAGAGATTAACATTCATTCAGCATTATACAGTAAAGCCAATAGGTATGGTGTATCAAAACAACTTACGTCCTTTTGTTTGCCCCATGTTTCTTCAGCTAGTTGCTTGGCATACTCGGGATCATCAGTAATAACAACATTGTCAAACAATGTACCAGATTTCACCTGTCAAGTTAAGAAGGTTGCTGTTCAGAAATTGGATAAATAAGGCTCAATTGAAAGTAAGTAAAGAAACATAATTAACACTTACCTGCCACAATTCAATACCAACATACTTCAACTTGAAAACATATAGGTCAGGGTCATCCTTGAAGTCTGGCAAATTATATTTCAAATGTTAAGAATACACCATAACAAACAATTACATATTTACTGTTAATGCAAGGATGAAAGTAAACCTGGGTTGTCAATCAATGGTGCCTTCCACTTTCCACTGTAGTTAGGGTTCTTAATTTTCTGCAGAGACGTAAACAGAGTTAGTAAAGAAATCAATCCCCAAACATATTGGAATATGCAGTCCATCAACGTTTCCACACAAACCTTTGGCTTCCATGGTCCCTTGTACTCTGGGTTGGCAATGGTAGGTGGAGTCCACTCACCATCTTCCTCATCATCCCAGTCTTCAGGCTACAATAAATACTAGTCTAATCAGCAATCACAACATAATGAGAGACAGATGAACACACCAATAGGAAACAACAAACCTTTTTGGCATCAGAGTCTGCAACTTCTTTAGGGATGTCATCATATCCCTCTGGTTTCTTGTCCTCGGGATCAGGAATAAACTCTTTGTCATCCCAATCTTCTGGCTGCAAGTATATAGATTACAATCAGAAGTTATGAATACACAACACAAATATGGAATCATACAATTAAGTTATTAGGTACCTTCTTGGCCTCAGGATCCTTAATTTTCTTTGCAGGAAGGAGATTCCAATCAGTGTAGAGGCTACCAGTTTGCTTCTCAACATTATCGATCAAGATGCTGTAGGTTGCATCCGGACGGATGATAAAGGTGTAAACATGTGTAAGTTGGTCAGTCTCACATGGAACATCCTTCTTGATCAACTGGTTTGTGTCATTGTAGGTCAAAATAGCATGTACTTTCTTGGTACTGTAACCACAGATATCTGGACCAAACATGATACTGAAAAAAAACAACAAAATGTAAAAAAAAAAAATCAGTTATTCTCCTTCCCATATATCTAAGTATGCATTAGCTGTGAAAGAGAAATGAATCAAAGGGATCCTATATATCACCTGTAAGGAGTGTCACCTCCAAATTTCTTCTGATCAACGTCGCCGCTAAGCAACTTCATGTATCCACCACCACAGTCAAGCTTCTGTTCATGCTTGACAGAAAATTGGAAGACTAAGGTGTTATCCTTGTTGGTGAATTCAGGGAATTCAGCAGAGATAGCATAGAATCGGTAATCTTCACTTGTTTGAATACCTGAGGAGATATAAAACATTTAAAAAAAACTTTATCATTAGCATCTCCATTTTCAATGCAACAATAATGCTTCATTACAATTTACTTTACCTTTATCATTAGCATCTCCGTTCCATTTCCCAGAGGTGTAGTTCCATTCTCCGGCCAAATTCTCATCCTTCTTCCACTCAGATTTTACCCAACGACTTTCCCATCCATCTATAGCAATCGCCATAATGTAGCAGCACACAAGTTAGAAAAAAGTAATATACCGATTTAAGTTAAAATAAATAAAGACTAACTGCAATAATATTATAGACTATCACTATCATCAATAAATCAAACATAATTCTCGCAGTTTTTTTATAGTTAAACTACTTAATCAATTTAAAATTATTTAAAAACAAAATGAAAATTAAAATACAGTTAATTTTCACCAGTAATTACTCATTAGCATAACTAATCCATGATCATCGTTAATTGACCCAAATAAAACGTGTCTAAACACTCGTTTTTTCATGTTCATTTTGAAAATCGCATTCGCAGATCTAGTCCAGACAACAACACTTCATATCAGACCTTGATGTTAAACTCAAAATACAAATCAAATTAACATACAATCGTTCAGATCGAGATTCAAACAGGTTACAAAATTATCGATCGTGAAATTTAATATCAAATTCAACAAATCACAATGCAGAAACAAAAAATAAAAATGCAAAATCCAAAATCCATACAATTCAAACACGGAGATTCACGATCTAATAAACGGAAATGAAAATATGAAAACGAAAGAAATGAATAGCTACCTTCGAAGCGTTCTTCGAAGAAAACCTTAGCAGAAGCGATGGAGAGAAAGGAGATAAGAACGAGAGAGAGAACGTTAGGGTGACGAGCCCTAATCGCCATTGTTGCACGAACGGATATTCTGTTAGATCGAAAGGAATCAGTGAGAGCTACTTGGGAACTTGACTGAGGATTGGGTTCTATATAGCGGCTCATTCTTACATTGTTTCTTTCTGTGCAGTGGGTAAATTTGGTAATTTACGTGGCTGTTGCTTACGTGGACGGGACCTGGCAGAGTTTCGCCAATGAGAGAATGCCACGTAGGTACAAGTTGTCATTCGTGCTGTGTGGCGTAGTGTTATTGGTAATTACTGTGACTGTAGGAATTGGACACGTAAGAGGGATTATGCAATATTTACGGTATTGCCACCGGGCTGTTACATTTACGTTTTTGGAGGATGTTGAGTTGTTTAGCACCGTCATCGTCACTCCTTCACTCTACTTTTGGGTTCAAATAATTTAATATAGATTATAATATCATTTCTATATTAGTAATATTAATTAATATTAATATTTTAATAATAAAATACGCGTGTCGCATATTTTTAATGTGCATATAGTCATTTTAAAAACAAAAATAGTTAATTTAATTATCCAACTACTATTTTATTTTATTAGCTTAGTCTCTAAATTAATTAAAATGTTGGATGAAATAATTATTTAAAGATCTTTAAATTAATTTTTATAATTGGCAACCAAATTGATAAAATTGTAATAGTTTAGAATATAATTAATTGCTTATTATAATTTTAATTTTTGAATTCTTGCATACATTCATATCTTTTACTGCTTCTTGCATACACTTATTTGGATTTATTATCCGATCTTTATATTAATTTTTAAGTTAATTTTAATAATTGAGAATTAAATTTAGAAAATACTAATAGTTTAGAATATAATTAATTGTTTATTATGATTTTCATTTTGAATTCTTGCATGCATTCATTTTTTACGGTTTCTTGCAAACACTTATTTGGATTTATTATTCGATCTTTTCATTAATTAAAGAAATTTTATATAATGTCTTTATTTTCATAATTTGTAACATATCAACATTATTAATGACAAAAGAAAAATAATAAAATGTTTTAATTAGTCTTACAAATTATGAAAATCAAAGTATTTTTACTTAATATTATTAATTTAGATTTCTATTAACAATTACATTAATGACATGTATTATGATACAATTTACAATTTTAAAATAGTTAATCAAAAATAAATAAATTAACTAAACCTCATAACTCATTTTTTATTATAAAATTTTCTACAGTTATTTGTAAAATGTAAAATATAATCATCCATTAAATATGTCTTTATCATTTTATGTCTTTTTCGATTATAAATTAGTTTTTAATGCATTATTTTTTTAAATTAAATATTTATATAGTTTATGATCGTACCTGTTCATAATGAACTGCCACAGCTTACGTCGAGCAGAACTTGAGAGTGGGATGGAGAGAGTACCTACAAGATACTTCGATGTTAAAATGAGATACAGAATGGTGCAAGCAAGTAAGACAGTGAGAAATGTCCAATACCTAATTCTCTCGTAGGGCTGGACCGAGGTCTCCTTATTGGGCTGGTCAAACAGGCCCAAAATGGAGACTGTCAGGTCCTACGTGAGTAGTGGGGACCAGCACGTGGTCCCCCATATGGATGACTTCCTCTGCGCGATCAAGAGGATATGGATGCGGTCTTTCCGGGATCACGAAGACTTCGTGATATCCGGAGACGTTGATAGTCAGCCCTACGAGCAGAATGCTCGTGGGGCGCTTCAACTCGTAGTGGATGTTCCCCGCCAAACGTGAGGTCGTGTGGGAGGACCAGTCTTGGTCGAGGAGAGGATTGGAAGGTGACCTCGAGGTCTTCCTGATCGGCAATGATCTTCCTAAGACTAACTGGGTTTATCCCCGTGTGGTGAGGCTGCCTCCTTGCGGAGAGTGGAAGTTGTTGCCCGACGCACTCTGAAGGCAGAACTGGCCAGCATGCCTTGACCGGCATAATTAGGTTGGGCCTCACATGGAGTTGGATCAAGGGTAGGCCCAGTCCAGAACAGGAGCCCCCCAAGTCGTTGCTCATGATGAAGGAGTTATGACTTAAGTCTAGCTTTTTCTTTAATGAGGTGAGTCACTCGACGAGGATCTTTCATTGTGTTGACAGAGAAGGTCGTTAGTGCATGGGTTTACTCGAGCAGCGTTCGGAATGGATTCGAGATGGAATTATTCTAGTTGTTCCTCGACTCGCAAGGAGAGAGAAGCCTGTGGGGTGTAGACACGTGGCGTGACCTTTGGGATTGTAATGATGGCCTAGGGAGTAGGGGTCATCATTAACTGAGCGCGTAGATGTCGAGGAGAAGGGCGGTTGGTGAGTTGCCCGACGCGACATTTCGCATTCCTCGTCAGCTCTATATATAGTGCCCCAAGGCCCATTTTTCTCATTTACATTCTCGCGCTCTTCACTCTCTCTATTGCCAACACCGTGTCGTTTTCTTCAATCGCTAACATCATCGCAGAATTCGCCGCGTGTTCTTCATCTACCCTCGTTATTCTTCATCTACTCTTGTCCAAGTAAGTATTTTCGTGATACTTTTTGTTTGTATTGGCTTTGATGATGTTTTAGTTGTAGAATGTCGCAACTGGGGGGGTTTTTCTCGGGGTATTCATGCGTACTATTCGTGATTGAGCCTGTGATATTCATCTTTTCACTGATACTTAGATGAATTTACCTCGTAGTCTTCATACGTCCCCGCGAAATTCATGAATTTTGCACAAGAAATTTATGCAATCCCCGGAGAATTCATGATTTTGGCCAGCAAATTCATACTTTGCTCGCTGTATTCATCATGTGCCTGGGTTGTTCATGAAAACAAGTGTTTGTCGTTATAACCGTTGTGTGGTCTTATAAGACTGGTATGATTTTCATGCCCTGATCAAGGGCCGTGTATTTCCCCTTTCTGCACAAGTGATTGTCGACTTGGTCTGGGTGTCTGTGATACGGTGACAGAACCGACTGTTTAAATACCGATTTGCGTTTTTTGTTTGCAAATGTCACGGTAAGCAAGAGTCGCCATCGACTTTTATTTTATCCAACAAAGGAAAATGGAAAAAGAACAGAAAAAACCTTTTTCGAGATGTTTTTTAGTACGGGGGGTAGATTATAGAAAGGGAAGGTGTTAGCACCCTTTCTATCCATGGTTTTCTATGGGCTTTTAGGTACTTGCTCATTTTGAAATTACTTTTGTGTGTGTTTTAAAAAGCTTTGAAAATGCCTTAGTGCGGCGTTTCACTTTATGGTAACCCTTGCGTCAGTCCTCAAGAGTGTGATAAAGCGTTTTTGAAAACTTTGTTCGAAAAGTGTAAGTGTGAAAAAATTGGTTGTTTTGAGCAAGTACTTAAGAGTTTCTACCTACTCGAAAAAGACTGTTCATTTTCTTATTTCCTTTAGATAGTGTTATCCTACTATTAAGGAGTAGGTAGCTCCATCGTTGGAGTTTGAGGGACAATCGAAAGGGACGATTACGGTCACTTAAGGCAACAGGGCAAGATCTCTTAGTAACTGTCCTAAAGTTCTGTCGCATTTTGTTTTACCGAGGCAACCTTCGAAAGGGACTTGCGATCTCTGAATTAGAGGACAGTCACTAAGAATTCTCACGTTCGAGAATAGTGATCGTATTACCGAGGCAACCGAAGTGGGAGATACCCTAGGGGTGAGCATGTGCAAGTGTTTGATTTCAGTTTATTTATCTTTGCACATTTAGGGTGATCTACCGTTTTAATCATTTAATCTTTCCATTCAATCCTATGATCATTCATCTAACAGTTAATAGTAGCGAAAAAATAAAATGCGAGAATCTTAAATCTAGCTATTACAAGGCTTTGGGGGATGGGGATTACATAACCAAAAATGGGGAATTAAAACAGTAAATGAAAAACAGTAAAATAAACCTATTTAAAACTATTACAACTTTGGAGCAGATACAATAATTTAAAAAATAATAATGAAAAAAGAATACGCGTGACAAAATTAAATACGGGGAATTAACAATTAAATTCAAAGACATCTAATTAGTGAATAAAGAAAAATATTTTTTTGAATTTTGAGAAAGTAATTAATTTTGAAAATTAACCTAATTTCTAATTAATTTTAATTATGAAAAGGAATTTAAATTATCCTAATTAACCTAATTAATTAATGAAATTAAATATTTTATGAAAAAAACATAATTCTAATGTTTTTGTGTTTTTATGATTTTAAGATTTAATTAAAAAAAAGATTTTTTAAAACAATTAAAAATAAATAAAATAATAAAAATGTTAAAGAAATTAAAAGCAAAAGAAAATATAATAGGCCTGATATGAGAAGCAATTTGGGGGGTGCATGGCTGAAATTTTCCAGGCCCAAGCTTGCTGGCCCTTCTACCTGCAGGTGATCCAATGGGGCTGGATCTGGAGGCGCATGATGGATGCCTGGTTGTGAGATGCGCTGGATCTGAAACAAGAAATTCAGAAAATACAAAAATGTATGGACCTGGGATCGAACCCAGATCCCTCCCTTCAAATGCCTTGTCCTTTGCCATCTGTGATGGCTAGTCATTCGTTTACATAATTAAGCAAAAATAAAATAAGGGAAAAATAGATCCAGTGCTGAATCAACTTGACACGCAGGCATTGTGGGGCCCTGGTAATTTAAAGAACCAATCAGATATGGAGAGAAGAATTTCATTATTGGATCCAGCCAATGGAACGCCTGGAAATGGCTACGCATGCTTGGACCACCGCCTGTAAAAGTCAAGCCATCAGCCACGGTGGTCCCGGTCACCTTCTCCGGTGACACGAGAAATTGAAACCTACGAAACACGCCATATTAAAGCATAAAAAAGACCCTACCCCCCTTAAAATTTCCCCAAGAATCCAATGGTGGTGTCCGTTTTCCCTAAAAGTCCATGTATCACTAAAACCAAAGCTTACTTCTCCCTAAGCCCTAACAATAGTAACTTGCGATCCTGGCTTTATTCATTGCATGAGACACGTTAGAAAATTCACAAATAATGCAAATAGTAT